TCGCAGAGCTGCTGGTTGGTTTCGAACTGCCAAGCTTTTGGTTAGCATCCGAGCACTAGAAAACCCTGTGGAATGCAATCCTGCTCTGAAACACGTGGGGTCGCCATGAGTTGGGGCTGACTGGAAGGCAAATGTTTTTTGTTTGTTTTGAGGCCAAGGCAACAGCCCCGGGTGAAAAACTCCTGAAAGCAAAAGATCACTAAGGGCCCTGCTATTGTCTGAGTCTCTGGGGTGGCGACAGCCAGGCAGCCACGTAGTATATTAGGACTCAAGGGCCAGGCTGTTAGAGCTTTAAATCAGCAGGTATTTTTAGCTTTGCTATATATGGCCAGGGAGGAATGTGGGCTATAGGAGGGGCAGGGGATGCCAAGAGGCTGCCAACAATGTCTGGGAGGCCGGAGCTCCTGTGCCTCCCCCACCTACCCCTTCCCACAGGAGCACCAGAGAGCTTAACCTCCCACCAAAGTAACATGTGTGGAGGAGAGGGAGGGGCTTATGGAGGTAGGAATGGCGGACGCTTCACTGGAGATGCCAGGGCACAGCCCTTTACAACAGTGATTTTCAAACTTTCTTGACCATGATCCTCAGTAAGAAAAACATTTCACATCATTATCATACACACACACGCACACACACATATATATATATGATACATAAAAATAACTATCTCCCCACATATATCCCCAACAAATGTTTTAGGAAACAATTCTGTATTAAGGTAAAGTATTCTCTGTGAAGAACTCTGATATTTTCTATTCTATTCCTTCATTAAAAAAAAAAAAAAGGGCATCATGACCCACTAAATTGATTTCACTACCTGCTAATGGGTCAGCACCTCCTGTCTGGGAAACGGATGCTTTCTGGTTCATGGAGTTGCCAGCCAGGTAAGGTGAGGAGTGGATGAAATGAGACATGATTGCTCCGTTAATCAGTACTCCTCCAGATTGGAGATAAGGTGCACCTTTCAGCTTTATCTCCGACTGGATGGCAAGTGTGGGACCTCCTGGCTTTTGTGCATTCTGTTCTCTCTCCCTGGAACACTCGTCCTCCACCCTTCTCACCTGGCTACTCGTGAACATACTTGAGGGCTTGGCTTGTCACTTACTCCAGGAAGCCTCCCTGATTGCCTGAGTCCTGGTGAGCTGCCCACCTCCTGCTCCCTTAGTCCCCGTATTTCCCCTACCTAGCACCTGCACACACACAAACCAAACCCGTTACCGTCGAGTTGATTCTGACTCCTAGTGACCCTGTAGGACAGGGTACAACTGCTCTATAGAGTTTTCAAGGCTGTAATCTTTATGGAAGCAGACTGTCACATCTTTCTCCCGAGGAGCGACTGGTGGGTTCAAACCACCGACCTTTCGCTTAGCAGCCAGTGCTTAAGCACTGTGGCACCCGGGCTCCTGAGCACCTGCACACTGTAGTATAACTTCCTGTTAAATTCTCTGTGCAGGCTGGGCCTTTTTCTTCTGTTCATTTCTACACCTCCCAGAGTAGTGCAGTTTTGGCTTTGAAATAGTTATCCGATAACTGTCTTGAGTAAAGGAATAATAGCTAATAGTAATAATACCTCCGCTGCCATCGAGTTGATTCCGACTCATAGCGACCCTACAGGACAGAGTAGAACTGCTCCATAGGGTTTCCAAGGAGCAGCTGGTAGATTCGAACTGCCAACCTTTTGGTCAGCAGCCAAACTCTTAACCACTACACCACCAGGGCTCCAATAGTAATAACAGCAACTACCATGTATTGAGTTATCCCCTAAAAAATCTTTGGAGAGATTAGTATAGATCCATTTTATGGATGAGGAACCTAAGGCCTAAAGAGATTGACTACCTTGTGCAAAGTCATTCAGCGAGTAAATAGTCGGGCCAGGGTAATAATCCACGGTGGCCCGACTCCTAACCTTCCTAATCTCAGGCTCTTACTTGTCCACATTCCCCTCCGAGATCCCCAGGCTGGGGCAAAGGGCAGGTCCTTAACAAACCCTCGGGAGACTGATGACAGGATGATTAAAGAGATTTTCCGAAGCAGTGGCTGCATCTAATTTTGGACAGTGGCATCTCTTGTGTGGCTGGGGAGAAAGGACCCATGAGGTGTCCAGGCTCCCTGGATGTGGGGCCGTCTCGTTCGGAAGAAGAGTCTTGGCCTCTGACAAGCCAGAAGAGCACGTCCTCCCTGGCCTGAAAGGCTCCTGGCACACCTAAGATAAAGCCCCAGGCCCTGCAAAGCCCACACCATCTGGCCCATGCCTGGGACTCTAACCTCATTTCCTCCCCACTCCCCTCACTCACTCTGTCCTGCTACCCAGCATTCTTGCTGTTCCTAAAACACGCCAAACCCAGTCCTGCCTCAGGCCTTTGCAACTGCCATTTCCTCTGCTTGGAAGCCTCTTCCTTCTGTTCCTCCCCGCCCTGCTTCTCAGACCACCTCGCCTGAAAACACCACCCCTCACTCTCTACTGTTTGTTTCATATCACTATCAGCTTCTGGAAGTGACCTATGCATTTGTTTTCCTGTTTATTCCTGTCTTCCCCACTCCGCAGGAAGCTCCTTGAGGACCTTGTCTTCCTCACTGCCCCGGCCCCTGGAACTTGCTGTGGGACAGTGACCAGCACATAGTAGGTGCTCACAAATATTGGTGGCATGAATGAGTGAATGGGTTTTCTCCCTGTTACACATATTGGGAGGTCAGCCCATAGCTTCCCATGCTCACCTTGACCTAGACATGTGTGTCCCTGTGACTGCCATCCAGGCCCCCCCTCCACACACCTTCATTTGGGTAGAGGCAGGAAGGAAGGGAGCACACATTCAGCCTGGTCTGCACCACCTGACATCAGTAACAGGCCTTGTAAGCACTCAAGGATTATCCCCATGTTGTAGCTGGGAAACTGAGGCTTGCTCTCTGCCACATCTCCAGGGCCTAGCGCAGTGCCTGGCACACACATCCAGTATGTGGAACTGCACGGAATTGGAGAAGTTCAGAGGGGCCCTGGTGGTGCAACAGTTACATGCTTGGCTGCTAACTGAAAGGTTGGTAGTTCGAACCCACCAGCTGCTCCATGGCAGATGTGACAATCTGCTCACGTAAAGATTACCCATTGCCATTGAATTGATTCACTCTGAGTCAGAAACGACTCGAAGACAAGGGGTTTTTTGGAAAGGTTCAGCGAAGGGCTCAAGGTCACTGAACTAGGCAGTGGTGGAGCCAGAATCCGTCCTCGGTGCTGCCCGACCCCAGCCAGTGCTTTTCTACAACACTGTGTAGCCACCACAGGCATCTACGGAAACTCTAGGGACACAACCTCGTTCCTATCCAGACGCCCACCGACCGACAACCCGGACTCACGCCCACCCTGCCCCTGAGGCTGCTCTCAATATGCCCGCGGGCCTCCGCTTGAACCAACCTTCCACCCTGGGCTGCCTGGCGCCCTCCCTGCCCCCACCGCCCCAGCCTACCCCAGCCCACTCCCAGACTGCCCCCTTCCTGCCCCTGTCACAAAGAGGGGAGGCTAGTGACAAATATATTACAAATGCCTTCAGATGCTGTGATTTTTTTTTTTTAATTAGCCCCAGTTTTGTCTCTGTCAGCTTTTCTTCTAATGTAGCACATTAGGAAGACTTCGTAGAATTATCGTGAGCGAGAAGGGACCTTAATGACCCTTTAAAGCAGGGGCCAGCAAGCTTTTTCTGTGAGGGGCCGGATAATAAATACTTCAAGCTTTGTGGGCCAAGAGGCAAAATCGAGGATATTATGTAGATATTTTCATATAATTTTTGTGTGTGACAAAATATTGTTCTTCCTTGGATTTTTTTTTTCCCCCCAACCATTTAAAAATGTAAAAACCACTCTTAGCTCACAGGTTGTACAGAAAAAGGCGACAGGCTGGATTTGGCCTCGGATCCGTAGTTTGCTAGCTCCTAACTTAAAGCAATACTTCTTAAACGTTAACGTGCATACAGATCACCTGTTGAGCTTGTTGAAACATTCCTGGGCTCACCCTCTGGTTCAGTAGGTCTGGGGTGGGGCCTTGAATTTGCATTTTTAACAGGTGGATGGGTGATGCTGGTTCTGCCAGTCCACCAACCCCATTTTGAGTAGCGCTGATATTCTAAGCTCCCGATTCTAGGGATGAGGAAACTAAGGCCCAGAGAAGCGATCTGTCCACAGTTACAGCCGGTGGGCAGGGTGATGACAGTCACTCCATCTCAGAGCTGTCACAGCAAAGGGCCTGTTTTCTTAACCCACCGAGTACACTCATGCTTCTAAGTCTTTGTACACACTCCTCTCTCGACCTAGACTATCCCCAGCTCCCACCCTCACAAATGCAATATCCCACCAAGATCCAGCTCAGAGGTCACCTTCTCTAAAGCTGTTCCTGACCTCCTCAAACCTACATGCTGCTTTCTCAGGGCGCCCCCAGCGCTGTGCACTGCGTGTGTGTAACGAGTTGTCCAAGCGCCTATCTGTGAAGCCACGGAATGGATCTTACTCCTTTTTATAGCTAACTCTTTGTACAGTGCCTGGCAAATAGGAGGTGCCCCGTAAACACGCACCGAAAGAAAAGGAGGAAGGAAGGGAGGAAGGAAGAAAGGAACGAAGGAAGGAAGAAAGGGGGATGGGTGGATGGATGAATGAATGAACACTTTCACGATCTATTGCTTGAAAATAGTTTTCATGGCAAAGTTGAGACTAGATTCCAATTTTACTGGTGCACAAGCTCGACTGTATTCCCGGCTGTTTATATAGTCAGCCTATAAACAGTAGCACTTACATGGTACTGAGTATGTATTCCAGGCGAGCCTTTGTACTAAGTACTCCTGCGATCCTCTCAATAACCCATTGTTGGCCCACCTTTCCTAACGAGAACATGTGTGCTTGGACAGGCAGAGCAGCTAGCCTGCCTGCTTCCGTGCCACCCTGCCTCTCCTCCTCGCACCATCCACCAGGGCCCCTGCCCTCCGTCCGCCAGAGCCCTGCAGGCCCCGGGCTGGGCTCACCTCCATCTGCATAGGTCTCTGTGCCGTAGCCGTCCTGCAGGCCATTGTTCCAGGTGCCCTCATACTTGGCACCGCTGCTGGTGCTCTGCCGAGTGCCGTAGCGTCCCTTGAAGCCATGTGTCCACTCGCCCTTGTAGAGCCAGTGCCCCTTGGTCTCTATGCCCAGACCGTGCCGCTTGCCCTGGCTCCAGTACCCCTCAAAGGTGTTCCCGCTGGGCCAGGTGTACACGCCTGCCACCTCAAAGCCAAAGTTCCAGGAGCCTGAGTACTCGCCCTGGCCCTTGGGGCCTGTGCACAGCCCATGCCCATGGGCCTTGCCCCCCTCCCAGCCCCCGCAGTAGGCCCCGCCATCATCAAAGTCAAAGCGGCCCCCGCTCATCTCATCATAGCCACCGACCACCTCCCAGTTCTCCAGCTTAGGTGGGGACGGCGGCAGGGGTGCCAGCAACACTCTCCAGGCGTGCTGGGGGCTGGGCCCCCGGACTCACCACGGCGCCCCAGGAGGGGGACAGCAGCGAGCCGCCACCAAAGGCTGAGAGAGCCCAGGAGCCAAGTCAGCACTGGGCCGGCTGGTCAGTGCCATGTCTGAGAGGCCCCCCAGTGAGCCAGAGGCAGGCAGCCAGCTGGGAAGGAAGCAGGAAAGAAAGATTCAAAGTCCCCCAAGCGTCCCAAGTCTGGCTTCCATGGAGTCAAAGGAAAAACGGTGTGATCCCTTTAAGAAGCACAGTAAAAGGCGTGAGGCGGAGGGCCCCCAGTCCGGCTCAAAGAGGGGGAATCCCCCTCGGTGACAGACCCCCAGCCTGAGGCTGAACTCCAGCCCTGCTGGCCCCCTTCTCCTCCACCCAGTGGGCGTGTGGGGCTGTCGGTCTCCCCGTCGCTGCTCCGCCCCTTCTCCAATCCTGCCCTCCTCCTCCGACGGAAAGGTCAGTGTTGCCCTAACAAGGCCATTGGATTTCAGAAGCTGCTCCCAAAATAAACCCCCTGGCCAGCCAGCCTTCTTCAAAGAGGGAGGGGGTGTTTCACATTGGGCTGGTGCTTCAGGCCCAGGGAGTGGCTTGAGGGATGAGGAAGGAAAGCTGAGAACTAAGTGTAGGCAGCCTGGCAATTCCGCTCTATTCTTCCCGTGGGTAAGCGCTCCCTTCCACCCTGCAGTCCCCCGACTCTAAGGGAAGGGAGGGAGGAGAGGGGGAGGGGCAGGAGGGAGGGGAGAGGAAGACTAGCGGAACATCCAGTCCTGGAACACTTTAAATCCCCCAGAGCGCTGAGGTTGGCAGCTCTCAGCCCACGACCACACGCATGCCACAATGGGACTCCGGGCTACAGCACCCTGCCAGCGCCGCGAAGGAATCCAGTGACCTAGAGAGAAAGGAACGGGGATGGCTGCGCGTATACCTTTGAAAGCACAGGAGGGAACTCAGAAAGAGGGGAGGCTGTGGACACAGTGTGGAAGATACAAACGGCAACTCTGCGGCCAGCACTTATGCACAGACCCCGAATTCTCCTCACCCCTGGGAAGAACCCAGCGCAAAAATCACCGTCTGCTCCCTTTCTCTCTCCCCCAAAGGGTAAATACCTTCTCTGAAGGCAGAGGGTGGGGGTTGTGTTGGAACGAGGTCATCTCAGAACTACGTGAGGATCATGATTTTTGCCCCCCTTTCCAAGTTCTAGTGTCCTAAGAGCCTGTGGGGCTGACTTCAGGAAGCTCTTGGGGCAGGGTCAAAAGCAAAGGGCCTGGGTGGATTCCTAGCATCCAGGTTCCCACCAAACTCCAGTAAAAGGGAGAAAAAAATCTCCATGACATGAAGCTGTGGCCAGGACTAATGGCTGGAAATCCCAACTGAGCCCAGGGTTAACAGGAAAGTAATTCTGGGAAAGGTAAGCCACCACGAACAGGAAGCTGAGGGAGGGTGTGTGTGTGTGATGGCATGGGGGCGGGGGAGTGGGAAAAGAGGTAGAGAAATCTTGACAAAAAGCAGGCTGAGAAGGCACCTGAGAACATAAGACTTCTCTGACTTCACCTTACCGGACATACTCCAAATTTCAGGATGACTTAGGCCACTTAAAGTCACCGTAGAGGTTTTTCTTGTTTCAGGAAGTAGTAGAAAATGTCCTCTCCCTTCATCCCAGCTGATGACTTGGTTCCTTCACTGTTCACAGCCCCCTGCCTTAAAGAACCCCTTCTGTGTCCACCTTTCACCACCGGGTAGAAATACCAAGCCTCTCGAGCTCACTATCAATGGCTGTTTGCCAAGCTGACAGGTGGCAAATAGCAGCAGATGAAGACTATATTGTACCATGTGGGTGGTTTGACTCACCACCTGGCCAAGTTGACTGACATCCTGTTTGCACAATTCACTTCTAGGAACACCTTAATGCTGCCTCCAGAGTTCTGCTTTGCCACTCCTCTAGGTGGCGAAAAAATTGAAGTTGTCAGCGATTTCATTCCACTTGGATCAACAATCCATGACCATGCAAGCAGCAGTCAAGAAATCAAATGGCATATTGCATTAGGCAAATATGCCGTTTGATTTCTTTTTGTTCCAAAAGACCTCTTTGAAGTTTTAAAAAGCAAAGATGGCTTTGATACGTAAGGTGCACCTGACCTAAACCATAGTCTTTCTGATTGCCTCATATGCATTTGAAAGTCCTACAATGAAAAAGAAAGAATTGATGCATTTGAGTTGTGGTGTGGGTGAAGAATACTGAACATCCTGTGGACTGCCAGAAGAATGAACAAATCAGTCTTAGAAGAAATACTACCAGAATGCTCCTTGGAAGTGAGGATGGTGAGACTTCGACTTGCTGTCTTTGGACACACCATTAAGAAAGACCAATCATTCTAGAAGAGGACATCGTGTTTGGTAAAGTGGCGTTTCAGTGAAAACAAGGAAAACCCTCCATGAAGTGGATCGACACAATAGCCGCAACAATGGACTCGAACGTACTGGCAACAATGCAGATGGCACAGGATTGGGCAACGTTTTGCTCTGCTGTACCTGAGGCCACCATGAGTTGGAGCCGACTCAGTGGAAACCAACAATGACACCTCCTCTGGGGCTTCAGAGAATTATGAGTTTCCTTTCAGCTCTGCACTCAAGAGAAGGGGGAATTGCATCTCAAACTGGAAGCCAGAGGATTTGGCGTTGCCTGAGTTCAATACCCTTTGTAGTTAAATGCTGGGCAAGTCACAATAATCCTGTTCTAAGGCGAGATGGCTGCTGTGTCCTAGCAAGCCGTTCTGCCTACGTCAGTCTAGCCACTTTTCATCCATAGATGCTCCCTATGATGGTTCCCCACCAGCGGTGGAGACATGTTAGAATCACTCACAGGACTTTTAAAAAGGACGCAGAGCCCCACCCAGACCTACTGAATTGGATTGTCCAGAGAGAACACTTGGGCAGGTGCATTTTTAAAAAGTCCCTCAGATGAATCTAATTCTCATCCCTGGTTAAGAATCACCGCAGGTCTTCAGATTAAAAATCTGCTTCTTGGCATGGACAAATTCATGAATCCATTCACCATAGGCTGCATAGGGTATATAGTTCTGAAGTTAGATATGTGTTCAAATCCTGGTTCTGCCCCTCATGAGTTCTGTGACCTTGGACCAATTGTTACTTTCTCTAAGCTACAGTTTCTTCATCTGTAAAATTAGAAGCATAAGAGTACCTACCTCAAAAGATTACTAGTATTAAGAATAATAGTACCTACCTTATAGGGCTAGGTGAGGATAATGTGAGAATACTAGAAAAAGGCTAAGAACACAATAAACACCTAATAAATGTCAGCTATTATCATTATTATTCTCACATGATAAGGTGTTTTAATTTAAGACTCTCATGCTTAATAAAATAGTCACCAAAGAGGAAAGAGAGACCATCCTTCAATACTAAATACCTTGACACTGAAGCACTCCTTACTCTCCCGGATACACATTAACATTATTGCCCTGTGTTTTCTAATTTTTTAAACTGCTAAACTAAGTTACTGGTAAAGGGCCACTTTGACTTCACAGTTTAATTAAATTCTTTACCAGATTTGGTCCTGGCCTTACCTGACCTGTGCTGAGCTTTTTAACAAGCCATCACTTTTGTCCCTCCCTTTAAACCAGGGCACTTGTTTTAAAAAGGGATAAAGGGCGACCTCTTGTGGCCATATGTGTATTACAACAGATTTTCCTTAGGGAAAAAAACTTCATCAGACCAAATGGAATTTACTAAACTTAAAATGAATTTTAAACTTTCTAAAACAAAGTTATCCTGTTCTTTCTCATTTCTAGGTCTTTTTGTACTCCATACTTCTGTTCTTTGGTGATAGAAGGCAGTCACTTCCTCCCTCTGTTTCCATCTCAACTTCTCAAGCTTGGCTGCTTCCTGGGGGGCATGGAAGGCAGGGAACAGAAAATCCAGAACAGAGAGGCCTGCACACAGAAACCCGCCTGAGTTCTTCTCATCCATTGAAGACTCAGCTGAAGAAGCCTCACCTCCCCCAGGAAACCTTTCCAGACAGTACTTTCCTGGCCAGATTAGGTGCCCTTCTCACATGCTTCCTGAACTTCATCAATATATTTCATTTTTAAAAAATAATTATCAGTTTCTGGATCCTCCCCTAAACTATGAGTTGTTTGAAACAAGAATTATCTTCCTTCCCCTCCTCCCAATACATAACCACCTACTGTGTAGCTGGCATTCTGGTTCATCTTTGTATACCCAGGGCCTGCCCATAGTGAGTACTCCTCGTCTTTCCCTCTCGACAGCGTTTGGCAGTCAATCACTCTTTCCTGAAATGATTTTTCACTTGACTTTCAGGATCCCTCGCTGGAGTAGGAGCATCTGCTCAGCCTTTTGCTGGTTCCTCCTCATTCTCCTGGCCTCTGAAAAAAAAAAAAAACTCAATGCCGTTAACTCGATTTCGACCCACAGCGACCTTACAGGATAGAATAGAACTACCCCATAGAGTTTTCAAGAAGCAGCTGATGGATTCGAACTGCTGACCTCTGATTAGCAGCCAAGCTGTTAACCACTGCACCACTAGGGCTCCCCTGGCCTCTAGACCTTGGGAACTCCCCAGGGCTTAGTCGTCTGACCATTCACTTCCTAGGCATGGCTTTAAGTAACATCCAAATACAGATGGCTCCCAAATTTCTATCTCCAGCTTGTAACTCTCTCCTGATCTCCAGTATATACCCAACTTACCTACTCAACATCTCTACATGGATATCTCATAAGCCTTGCAAACTTGACAACAACAAAACCAAACTCCCAAATCTGCTCCTCCTATCTTTCTCACACCCCATATCCAATTCATCAACAAATCCCCTCAGCTCTACCTTCAGAATGATTCCAGAATACATTTTATCTCCATCACTACCAAGTATCAAGCCATCAAAAACCACTGCCTGATTCACTGCAATAGCCTCCTAACTCCTTGCTTCCTTCCCCTTCTCCCCCTTTAGTCTATGCATAGCAGCCAATGTCTTCCTAAAAGGCAAGTCTGATAAGTCAATAACAAAGGACAAATATTGTGTGAAACCACTACTATAAAAATCAAGAAAAGGTTTACACACAGAAAAAAACAATCTTTAATGGTTACCAGGGAGGAGAGGGGTAGGGAAGGGAAATCACTGACTAAATAGTAGACAAATGTTAACTTTGGTGAAGGGAAAGACAGTACACAATATAGGGGAAGGCAGCACAACTTGACCAAGGCAAAGTCATAAAAGCTTGCTAGACACATCCAGACACCTTGAGGATCTGAGTTACTGGGGCTGAGGGCTGAGGACCATCGCCTTGGGGGACATCTAGGTCAATTGGTATAACATAGTTTATAAAGAAAATGTTCTATGTTCTACTTCGGTGAGTAGCATCTGGGGTCTGAAAAGCTTGCGAGTGGCCGTCTAAGATACATCTGTTTGTCGCATTCTGTCTGGAGCAAAGGAGAATGAAAAAACCAAAGACACAAAGAAAAAATTAGTCCAAAGGACTAATGGACCACATGAACCACAGCCTCCACCAGTCTGAGCCCAAAAGAACTAGAAGGTGCCCGGCTACCACCACCGACTGCTCTGACAGGGACCACAATAGACGGTCCCAGATAGAGCAGGAGAAAAATGAAAACAAAATTCAAACTGACAAAAAAAGATCAGACTTACTGGTCTGACAGAGACTGGAGGAACCCCCAAGACTATGGCCTCCGGACACCCTGCTAACTCAGAACTGAAGCTACTCCCAAAGTCCACCTTTCAGCCAAAGATTA